AAAAAAAAAAAAAAAAGAAAAGAAACAATACAAACAGAGTCAGAGTTGTGTTAGTCCTAAATTGTGCTAGGAAGAAAACTCCATGGGCACTGCATAGTGGGGAGAGTGAGGCTCTAGCACAAAATCATGAAGTCATCCCACCCCACCCCACCGCATCCTGCCCCTGCTCACTGGGCTCCTGCTCGGCATCTATCTTGGCCTTTAGCAGCATCCTCAGCCGTGACACCTCCTGTCGCTTGAGCTCATCCAGTTTGGTGCGGACATGGTGGCTGACGAAGTCCAGCTCGCGGCTCAACTTTCCGCTCTGCGAAGAGAGACAGACACTAGCCAGAATGGGTGCTGGGAGGGATGCTAGGCAGCCTCATCTTGTGTTCTGTATTTTCTAGCACTTTCTATAAGTGTTCTGATGCCCTGGTCTTTCACTTCTTCTTCTACCACCCCACTGGCACCACAGAGCCCCCAGGAAGGACAATGTCTCAGACCCCTAGGTGGCATCTGAGGCCTGCCCACTTCAGCAGCCCCATCTGCTAGTGCTCACCAAATCATGCTTGGTCTCAGCAATACTAACTGGGCATGAGCTCCTATGTGTAGGAGGTTGTTTCCTACCTTAGGGCCTTTGCACGCGCTGTTCTCCTACCTGGGATGCTCTCCAGCCTCTTCTTTCAAGCCTAACCAGATCCTCACTGCCCTTCAAAACTCAAAGCAGATGGCACCCCCTTAGGAAGAATCCCAAGACCACCTTCACCTTCAACTCTCTCTCTCTCACACACACACAGTGCTAATATGGTGCCTGCTCTGAGCTACCTCTATCCACACCTTGGATTATGCCTGTTCCTCAATCAGAGCTGACCCTTCCCCTTCCTGATCATAGTCTCTCATGGCTCCCCAGTGCCTCTAGGACAGTGTTTCTCAGCTCAGCATACAAGGGCAAGGGTGAAACTTGGCACCTACCCACCCGTCCAGCCCAGTGTCCCTCTCTGTATGTCAGTCATAGGAACTGATGGCAAACTAGCTAAATGTACTAGAATGCTTCTCTGAAATGTTCCCTCTACTTCAACTTCGATGCCACAGACACCCCCACTCATGACTCAAACCTCACTCAAGGTACCCTTTCCCCAGAAGCCCTCTCTGACTTGTCAGTCTAGCCTGGTCCCTTTCTGGGACCTTCCAGTACCCTCTACTATCTGTTATTGCTCAGGTGCTTTGCCAGCAGTCACTCAAGATTCATATCCTTCTCTGCAGCCTAGCGGGGTGCAGCCTGTGCAGAGCCTACAGGGCAAGGTGACCAAAGTAACAGTCATAATATCAACAACCAGCCAAGCACCTACTAAGTCCATCCTCTAATCTAGCCCACAACTTCATTTTATAGATGAACAACTGAAGCCCAGGAAGAGAAGCCACCTGCCCAAGGTCCTTGGACAGCATGGGAGGCAGTTTCCAGTCTGATGACCCAGTTAGGGGTCAGGTTTCCCCAAAGCAGGAGTCTCAGGGTCTAGATCCAAATCCCAATCCTGGCACTACTTCCCTGAGAGACCCAACACACCCTTTTCCTGGTCTGGACCTCAAAACAGGCTGCCACTACTGCCACCAACAACTGGCATTTATTGCATCTTATGCTGGGCTGAGCCAAGCACGTGAAGTATGGACTATCTCTGACCCACAACCACCCCCACAACATGAAGAATGTCATATTAACCTGTCCATTTGCAGAGAGGGAAACCAAGGCACAGGGAAGTGCAGCTACTTGCCCAGAACAGTGTTAAGATGGAGCTGAGATTAGAACCTAGCACTGACCCATTCCAGAACCTGCCTCTCTATTTTGCCTCTTTGCTTCTTTTTTTTTCAGACAGTCTCACTCTGTCATCCTGGGTAGAGTGTCATGAAGTCTTAGCTCACAGCAATCTCAAACTCTTGGGCATAGGTGATCCTCTTGCCTCAGCTTCCTGAATAGCTGAGACTACAGGCACCCATCATAATGCCCAGCTTTTTTTTTTTGTTTTTTAGAGATAGGGTCTTACTCTGGCTCAGACTAGTCTCCAACTCCTGAGCTAAGGCAATCCACCCACCTGGGCCTTCCAGAATGCTAGGATTATAGGTATGAGCCACTGAACCCGGCTGCCTCTCTGCTTCTGATATCAGTTCCCAGGAATATGATGTTGGGCAAGTTGAGTAGCCTCCTGGCCCTCAGTTTCCACACCTGAGCAATGGGTGGGGCTGGATTGAGTGGATCTGCCTGTCCAGCGTCAGGAACTGGGAGGACAGGGACTGATAGGAGCTACAGAAATGTCAGGTCCTCCAGGAGGATGGGGCCACCTGCTGACCAGGCCCCAGACCCCAGGGACTCTCCCGGGCTGAGATGCTTAGGGAACACTTGGGGCTGACACATCAACGGGCTCTTTCAGGTGAGACATTCCAAACACACCTAAATGAGGTTGGGGACTCTCTGCATTTCTGAGGGGAGGCTGGTTGAGGGGCTGGGTGGGGTGCTGGGGTTCTGGGTTCAGCCACACCAGAGTGAGACTTATACCCATACGAAGGACACACACAGGAAGGACACAGGGCCTCAATGTCCTCCTCTGTGAAAGGGGGACAACCAGCCAGGTGCAGTGGTTCACACATGTAATCCTAGCACTCTGGGAGGCTGAGGTAGGTGGACTGCTTGAGCTCAGGAGTTAGAGACCAGCCTGAGCAAGAGCGTGACCTGATCTCTAAAATAAAACTAGCCAGGTATTGTGGCAGGTACCTGTAGTCCCAGCTACTCAGGAAGCTGACATAAAAGGATCACTTGAGCCCAAGAGTTTGAGGCTGCTGTGAGTTATGCCACAGCATTCTACAGAGGGCAACAAACTGAGACTCTGTCAGAAAGAAAGAAAGAAAGAAAGAAAGAAAGAAAGGGAGACAACCATAACACCTCTAGAGACCTAGCTTGAGAGTAAACAGCTATGCCAGTGATACTGGTGCCTGCCGTATTTTGAACTCTTCCTCCTTAGAAGCAACTGCACTAAGGACGCCCTTGCATCAGCCCTCACAGAACACTAAGGGCTGCTGCCATATACTTCGAAACTTTATAAGTCCTCTCTGTGATAATCCAAACCTGAGCCCCATAAGGCAGGTTATGACCTTCATTTACAGATGGGGAAACTGAGGCCCAGCTTGGCAAGGTCCCATGGGTGGTAAGTGGCAGAGCTGAGAACGGAAGTTGGCTGCCTCACTTGGTGTCTCACTACAGTCTGTGGTCCCCAAATCCTTTCCCAGACACATAACCTGAAGAAGTAACAGCTCTGTGAGTCTCATTTTTTTTTTTCTACCCTGAGTAGAGTGCCAACACATCATCATAGCTCACAGCAATCTCAAACTCATGGACTCAAGTGATCCCCTTGCCTCTGCCTCCTGAGTAGCTAGGACTACAGGTGCCCACCACAACGCTCGGCTAGTTTTTCTATTTTTAGTAGAGATGGAGGTTTCATTCTTGCTCAAGTTGATCTTGAACTCTAATGCTCAGGTGATCCACCCATCTCATCTCCCAATGTGCTAGAATTATAGGGATGAGCCGCTGCACCCAGCCTCCCTGAATCTCACTTTGGTGACTGGGAACATGGGCAGGGCTAGAGCCATGTCACCTCCCAGTAGACCTGGTTCTTTCCCAAACCCTGTCCTTTAACACACACACCCCCCCACCCCAATAACTTCCCTCTGCTGCCCAGGCCTCACCTTAATGTCTTCTGCGTTGGCAGCCTGCAGCTTCTCCCGAAAGTGTCCATCTGTCTCCAGTACATTGATGACCTCCTGGAGGTACCGGTGGTAGTACAGGCCTGTGTCCTAGGGCAACAAGGGTGGACATAGCAGCCCCAGCCTCCTTCCCTACATCCAGCTCCTTCTCACAGGCAAGACAAAAGCCCTGTTTCCCTGGGCATCTGCTAAGGGATCCAGGCATACTCCCCTGGAGCAGGCAGCCTGCTTCACAGGACAAAGGTGCCAGAGCGAGCAGACTGCAGTTCAAAATTCATCTATAGGGCAACCCCAGGCATACTGTCAGTGTAGTTGTCACCTCTTCCCACATCTGTAACCAAGTGAAATGAAACTTATATAGATAAATACCCATCCCAATATCAGCCACAGTATGAACACAACTTCCACATAGCTTCATTCATTAATCCATCCATCCAGTCATTCGTTCACTCATTTAACAAACAACAAACATTTACTGGCTTCTATCATATGCGGGGCACTATTCAAAGTGACACAGTAAGGAAAGACAAAAATCCCTGGCCTCTTGGTCCAACCCTGCCACTTTGCTCTCCCTGGGACTTACTTTATTTATAAAATGGGCACAAAGTACATGTGATAAACTGCCTGGCACAATGATAAGACTACAGAAGATTCTCAACTTACTATAGCTATTATTACATAGACTAAAAAGCATACAATCAGTGCTTAATAAATGGTAGCAGTCTTATCATTACTGTTACTTGTCATGGATCACCCAGCTATGCCATTATGGGTGTATTAGTTGCCTATTGTTGCTGTGACAAAGTATCACAAACTTAATAGTGGGTAGTACCTGTGGCTCGGTGGGTAGGGCACTGGCCCCATATACCAAGGGTAGCATATTTGAACCTGGCCCTGGCCAAACTGCAACAAAAAATAGCTGGGTGTTGTGGTGGGTGCCTATAGTCCCAGCTACTTGGGAGGCTGAGGCAAGAAAATTGCCTAAGCCCAGGAGTTGGAGGTTGCTATGAGCTGTGATGCCACAGCACTCTACTGAGGACAACAAAGTAAGACTCTATCTCTAAAAAAACAAACAAACTTAATATCTAGAGGTCAGAAATCCAAAATGGGGACCAGATGCGGTGGCACATGCCTGTAATCTAGCACTCTAGAAGGCCAGGTGGGTGGGTTGCTTGAGTTCAGGAGTTAGAAACCAGCCTGAGCAAGACTGAGACCCCTCTCTACTAAAAACAGAAAAACCGGCCCGGCGCCTATGTCTCAACTGGCTAAGGCACCAGCCACATACACCTGAGCTGGTGGGTTCGAATCCAGCCTGGGCCCACCAAACAACAATGACAGCTGCAACCAAAAAATAGCTGGGTGTTGTGGCGGGCGCCTGTTGTCCCTGCCCCAAGCGAGGCAGAAGAATCGCTTGAGCCAGGAGTTGGAGGTTGCTGCGAGCTGTGATGCCATGGCACTCTACCCAGGGCAACAGCTTGAGGCTCTGTCTCAAAATAAATAAATAAATAAATACATAAAATAAAAACAGAAAAACCAGCCGAGTGTGGTGGCGGGCACTTGTAGTCCAGCTACCCAGGAGGCTGAGGCAGGGAGATCTCTTGAGCCCAAGAGTTTGAGGTTGTTGTGAGCTGTGACACCTTGGCACTCTAGCCAGGGGTAACAGAGTTGAAAGTGTGTCTCAGAGAAAAAAAAAAAAGGAAGTCCCAAATGGGTCTGCAGGGCTGTGCTCTTTCTAGAGGCTCCAGGGAGAAACTATTTCCTGATCTTTTCAGCTTCTAGATGCAAGCTGCATTCCTCAGCCGTGGCCCTGCTTCACTTTGACCTTTGTTTCTTTTGTCACATCTCCTGCTCTGACTGATCATTCTGCTTCCCTCTAATAAAGACCTTTGTGATTATACTGGGATCACTTGGATAACCCAGGGTCACCTCCCCATCTCAAGATCTTTAATCACATCTGCAAAATTTGTTTTGCCACCTAAGGTAGTATTTCCACAGATGGGGATTAGAGTCTCACTTTGTCCCCCTTGGTAGAGTGCATCATAGCTCACAGCAACCCTGAACTCTTGGACTTAAGTGATTCTTTTTTTTTAGAGAGACAGAGTCTCACTTTGTCACCCTCGGTACAGTGCCATGGCGTCACAGCTCACAGCAACCTCCAGCTCGTGGGCTTAGCCTCCCCAGTAGCTGGGACTATAGGAGCCTGCCACAATGCCTGGCTATTTTTTGTTGCAGTTTGGCCAGGGCCAGGTTTGAACCTACCACCCTCAGTTTATGGGGCCGCTGTCCTACTCACTGAGCCACAGGCACCACCCAGCTTAAGTGATTTTCTTGCCTCAGTCTCCCTAGTAGCTGTGACTAAAGGCGCCCACCACAACACCCAGCTACTTTTAGAGATGAAGTCTTGCTCTGGCTCTGGCTCAGGCTGGTCTCAAACTCTCGAGTTTCGGCAATACACATGCCTTGGCCTCCCAACAAATAACTTTTAATATATGTGGCACGCGGTATGCTTATACTAATAATTATTTGTTATTTAATATTCAGATTTAACTGAATGAGTCCTCACTGCATAGGGCTGTTGTGAAAATTAAGTGAATTAACATTTTAGAATATTTGACACAGTGTCATACCTGGTACTTAGCAGGGGCTGTGAATGTTATGATTGTTGTTATTGATATTTATAATCTGTGGTTCTTATTAGCCTTAGAATAAAGACTGTATTCTCAGGCCGGGTACAATAGCTTATGTGTATAATCCTAGCACTCAATGAGGCTGAGGCAGGTGGATTGCCCGAGCTCACAAGTTCGAGACCAGCCTAAGCCAGAGTGAGACCTCATCTCTAAAAATAGCTGGGCATTGTGGCAGGTGCCTGTAGTCCCAGCTACTTGGGAGACTGTGGCAAGAGAATTGCTTGAGCCTAGGAGTTTGAGATTGTTGTAAGCTGTGATGTCACTGTACTGTACCAGGTACGACCAAGTGAGACTCTGTTTCAAAAAAAAAAAAAAAGAAGAAGAAAGAAAAAGGAAAAAAAGAAAAGAATGCATTCTCCATCAAGGTCTGCAAGATCTCACATGATCTTTTGCCCATCTGTCCCTCATTCTCTCTGCGCCAGCCACACTGGTGTCTGTGAATTCCCTCAAAACACTCTACTGTCTCCAACCACAGCCTTTGCCCACACTGACTATCACCTCTGGTGTTCACTGTCTAGAGCTCTGCCCTTTATCTTCATCTCCCAGCCAAGCACCCAGCAACTGGGCTAGTTCACAAGGGCATGGAACTTGCATATGGCTATGTCTCAGCAACTAGCACTGTGCCTGGTTCATAAGTAATGCTCAAAAGTATGGAATGAATGAAAAGAAAGGGGACTCAGTGGTGCCCATCTCTGCAACAATTTCACAGAGTAGAGGCCTAACTTGTTGGGTGGGGACCAGGAGCCTGGAATGATTTGTCCCAGAAGGTAATCACCAGCCCATCCCTACTAGGAGCTATGGGCAGAAATCAGGGCAGACAACCTTGAGGCTGTCTTAAGTTCCAAATCCTCTAAGACCAAAAGTTTCGTAGAGTTTCGTAAACATTTTAGAATTAATAAACAGTTCCTACACCCTCCACGAAGTAAAAAACCCTCAGTTAACTAACATCAATGGGTAATGTTGCTACTGGGAAAGGTAGTTTTTTTTTTTTTCAGACTCCTTCTTGGGAGGGGGCGGAGAGGATGGCTTTCTTAAAATGACAGAGCAGGG